TTGTACTAGGTGCCCTAGTCCTTCACTTGACTCACATTTATATGTGAACAAGGAAATAGTCTTAATTTCCCAAAGATGAAGGTTCTCATTCATCATACAATACAAGTTGCATGATTCCAAGTTTCTGTCCAATTGAAACTTGGTGATAGGAATCTTTCCTTATTTGGTAAATTTAGACACTACCACAAACGAAAGAATCAAATCCAGATTGCTAAAAATAGAAACATACAAACATCAATTTTCACAAATGTCATTGCAAGGAAATATAAAATAAGATAAAATCAAAATTTTCTTTATTTATAAAATTGCAGAAAATCTTGTCCTTACAATGCAAGTACATATGAAAACTATGTTTCTAAATATTCCTAAGCAATCTATCATAACTCCTAAGTAGCAGCTCAAAACTCTGATCATCGAATCATGTGATAGAAATCCATCTCTTCACGATCAGACTCAGCCTGCTCTTTCTTTGAGCTTCCTTTCTCTTCTTCGATCCTACAAAACATCAAAATGTGATCTCATCACATCATGTATTAAGAATCTTCAAATAGGAACTTAATAGAGTTAGATAGTTGACTTACCTGAAGCAGAGTCATACATTTTGACTTTACCATCCTCATGGTCCTTCAGGTAGATACGACAGCTTGGCATCCAATGCCCCTTCTCTTGGAAATAGAAACAAATAGACTCTCTCGGAATGGTACACTGGACAATCACAGACTTAGCCTTTCTCTTTACCATTTGGTCAAACGGTTTGACATTGGCCAATCCATTTCCATTGGGAAGAGAAAGCTTTTCTGGACTTCCAATGTCGCCATTGTCAATGTCCATGGAAGTTTGGGAAGTATATCTTCCAATCAAGTTTGCTTTACCAGTGCGCCAAATCATTGTTGATTCAGCAACAATAAGCAAATAAGTAAGATCAATAAGGGTCACATCGTGATCTGTCATATAGTAGTCTTTAATGAACTCACTATATGACTTAGGAAGTGAATGAAGAACCAAGTCAACAGCCAGCTTCCTTGGGAACATGACACCCAACATTCCCAGCCTATCAATATGCAACTTTATGTCCAAGATCTGAGCACATACAAACTTTCCATCTTCATGTTTCTTGCCAATAGGGTTTGAGTGATCTTCAACTTTTCAAGTCGACGAACATGTGGGTCAGGGAGAATAATTGGATGAGGTGGAGGAGGTGAAGTATGATTTCCAGTTCCATCGATGCAATACAAAGAGATTGATCTTTCACCTTGATCGCCATGTGGAATATCATCTTCATGAGGAAAGCTTTTTCCAAAAGATTCGGGAAGACCATAGTTGTCAATATTAGACATCTACAAGGGAGAAATTCAAATTAGTTGATTTAAGTCCTTAATATAACACCCAAATAAAATATTGAGGCTAAGACCCAACACAATATTCCACAATTAGGAAGAGGGATGCCGTAATCCAATTGTAAAATATTTGAAGGTAGGTAAATGACGATTTACAAATTTCCACCATGAAAAACGAAAATGAACATTAGGTTTTAAATGAATTGAAATTCCTAGATTCTTTGAGATTCATTGAACTTTTCAATGGCATGTGTAATCTCGATTATGCCCTTCAAGTTTGTGATTGCGATACCGAGGATCACAAACAATGTGTGAATAGCCATACAAATTAGCCTGGTACTCTCGATGTCATTAATCAACTAATCAATGTGTCGGTTAACCACATGCGCTCCATTGATCAATGATAATTTATGAGAAACCCATTGCCATCCTTCATTAGTACACAGTAGTGTGTCGGTTAACCACACACGCTCCACTAACTGACCAATAAGGTGCAATGTGCAATTTCATGGGTTAGCATCAAATTCACATTTTTCCTAAAGTAAATAAGATTGGGAATTTATAAAGTGTTTAGTTACTTTGTATTTCACTATACTTTTAATGAGGATTTAAGTGTCCTATCAAACCCGTTCGGCTAACGACCCTCCACTGGTCAATGGTGCGGTGGGTAAGAGTGGATACCCAATGGTGGCCATTTTACAGGCTGCTTTCTTAAACACCCCTTATAAACCAGCTTCGTGAATGAGGCCTACTAACGGTAAGACTGACTTTTTACTTATACATATATAATATATTAAACTTTTAATTTTATATAGTATAAGGGTATATTTTACACTTTTAAAATACTAGGTGGTTTAATATATTAATAAATTAAACTTTTAATTTAATTAACTTTGAACCATATGATTATGGATTTATTAACTTTCTATTTTAATTAAACATTTAATCAATTTAATAAAGTCCATAAGAGTGTAATTTGAACTATTCAAAGGAAACATCAAGGCTCTAAATACAAAATTCAAAATTAAAACTATTTAATTAATTTTTTAAGTTATGAACCCAAGAGTTACACTTTTGAAACCTTTCAATTACTAGAGTTAATGTTTCATAAAAGAGACCTTTTAAGTTCCAAAACTTGAGGGCAAGTTTTGTAACTCTTGAAAAACTTTTGGATTGCAAACTTGATGACAAGTTTTGTAACTCCTTAAAAAAAACTTTTGAGTTCCAAAACTTGATGGCAAGTTTTGTAGCCTCTCAAAACCATTTAGATCAAATTCTAACCAATAAAAATAATCATATTATCTTTACCAAATTGACATAATTACAATTCATGTAGATAAATCAAATGATACAAATAATTAGCTTATCATATTATCAAGTAATTATTTTATAATTTTATAATTTATCTTTTAATTTGATGAGGATAATCATTACCTTATAAGAAAAAACGAATTTTAACAGTCCAAAAATAGTTTGTGGTAATGATCCTAATCCAAAAATGGCAAAAAAAACTTGAAAATCTGCACACAGATGGTCCACCACGTCGTGGTCATCTGTCAGATTCGAAAAAACGATTTTCTTTTGCTTTGAACAATCAACCAATGCATCTATATAACAGAAAACACCCATGACTCTGATACCACTGTTGAGTTTTATGTACTCTAACATCCCTATGGTGCACATACAACCCTAATGCTTTGGATCTAAGTTTTCTCTAGTTATACATGCAATATTATTTTCGAAAGCATGAAGCCTAACTAGCATATAAAATTTGATACATGAATCATAAAAACTAGTTAGAAGATTACCTCCTTGGTGTAGCTTGTGGAACTTGGCCTTTCAAGAGCTTAGCACCTCAAGTGTGATGCCTCAAACAAGTCACAAACACCAAGAGCAATTGGAGGATAATGAGAGAGAGGCTAGGAGCACCAAAAACGGCTAGGTTTACCCCTTGGAGTACTAGTGGCCAGTTTTTCAAGCTTAGGGGTTCAATTTATAGTTTGGAATTCCTAGGGATTCAACTTGTAAACCCTAATTCACTTGGTCTTTTAATCCAATAACTCATTAGCCTTTTGGACTAACTCTTCATGGACTCTCACAAAGATTTAGTCCAATCCTAATCAACATGGATCATTAGCCCAAACTATAAATATCACTGATTTACCTAATCAGTCCCTACAAATCTAATTAGTCTCTTTTGATCACTAAATTAATTCCAAATTAATTCTTGACCAATACTAATTAAATAATATGATTTATCAATTAATATATTATTCTTATAATATATTAATAAATCACAAATAACCTCTTTCTCAAATATCCATCCTCTCAAATTGCTTTGATGAAGGCAACCCGAAATGGACCATGCTACTCTCGGGTCAAGTACATACCAATTATAGTTATTGGCTTAGACACCTAATCCAACATATACCTCCTGTGTATCCGATGGCCATTCGAAGAAACGAGAAACGCGAGAGAAAAAAAAAAGAAAAAGAAAAAGAGATCGGTCCTAAGGTTATGATCGATCGACGAAAACGATCCCAACAATTTTAAAGGTGTTTGGAAGGTCACTTACAGTGGTGGAGATGGTGTTTGATGGTGGTCGATGGAGGTTAACAGCGGCGACAGTGGGGGTGAAGAGGGTGGCAGGAGGCCACTTCGGTGGTCTTCTGCCGCCTATTGTTGCTTACTTCGTTTGGATTTTGATGCAGGGAGTGTGGGGGAGGTTTGATAAAGCTAAGTAGCTGCATAGCAGTGGCAGACACTACTAGAAAACAGGAAATAAAGTACGACTGTTTTGGGGTATAGAATACGGAATAATGGGTGTATTCTAAGGGGGGTGTATTAGATTTGAACACATAATAGAGTACAGTTAAAGAACCGTACTCTATCTCTCACACTTCACATTTCATAACTCCATACCACATATAATACAGCTATACCACATATCTAATACAACTATTTACAACCGTACTATATTACATCCAAAAAGAAATCAAATGCCTTAATACCAACGTTCTTATCCCATGCCTCTGTTGGGGCAGCATCTGCCATGATCTTTTCCTTAACCATGTAGAAGTATCTAAACACCAAACCAAATCAAACAAATCAAATCAGATCACATGCTTATAATATGAATAAGCTACAATACAAATACAGTAGTATTAATATCACATCAAAATTATTAGAACATTGGTTCGGTTGGGTTATCTTATCAATTACACCAAACTCTTTAGCTTTGGTGGAATGCATATAAAAAGGCCTTCTCATCACTTGTGTTACAGTCTCCACTGACTAACTAATCAAACAAAAGCAATCGATATATTGCATATGTTCATCCAATCTAATTAGTGTTTCTTTTCTTGTGTATTTTTGTTTTGTTCTGTCATGTCATGTCATGTGCAAAGCATAGAAACAAACAGGGCCTAAAAGAGTGAAGAAAAAAAGACCAATGACTCACATTTTTGTGTGCTTTGACAAGAGACAAACAAGTGTATCCTTGTTAATGGTTACCTGTAAGTAAATGATTGGGTAATTATAAATAATAAAAAGCTGAAGTTGGTAGAAAATTTATATTCAAATCAAACGAACCAACCTCCTTTGCACATATTAGAACATCATTGTCTGTCATCAATCCAGATGATGGAACGCGAGGCTGTTGTATCATACAGCTAAAAGCAACATAGCAACGACTCCTCATTAGTTGAAATACAATACAATAAATAAAGATATAACAAAATATATGAATTATGATACAGAGGATACCTTTTGCATATGACATCTTAAATCTTTTCCCCTTACTCCCTACAGCAAGCAACAGGCATCCATAACCAATAGCAGCCCCAACTCCAACCGTATGTATCTGCAGATAAATATTTTCCCCTTGCTCCTGGAAAAAAAAGGTTACAAATGAATTGTTCCACCTTTAATGAATATGCATATATTTGTTCATTTTTCCATCCTCAGTTATCTAATATCTTTAAATTTAGAATTTTAAAGATTAAGAGCGAGTCTATCTCCCTCCTTTTTGGGTGGAACTAAACAAAATTGAATTTTTGTCCCATTAAGTCAATCCTAGGCCATAACTGTCAATTCACTTAGGTAATTCAAACATGAATGATTAAAAGTGGGAACATATGAAAGATGATTAAAAATGGAAGTATATAAGAAGATACATGCATCATCATTCAGATCTTCATGTTGATTTGCTCGACCTTGTTGGCAAGTGACAACAACAGCGGTCTCAGATGCCATAAGTACACCCTACATCAACTTGACCATAGAAAGTGATTAAGACACTACTCATTTATTGAAAGGGAAGTTCCTTTACTTCAATCTGTTCCCAAATTAGGTAAAATCATTGTTATATAAATTGCCATTATGCTTATTAAGCAAGAAAATAAATATATATTACTATATTACCTCTTTGAATCGGGTCAAACATTATTCAATCATCTGTATATTTTCTTGGTACTTTTATTTGACCATGAGAACACGAAAATAGAATATAAAGGTTACAATTATGAAAAAAAGAAATAAAGCATCAAAGTAGCTTACCAGGCTTTCTTCCAGACAAAATAGGACTTTCAGTAGGCTCAACTCCATAAAGTTGATGCCAAAAATAAATTAATCAATTAACAGTGCTAATGTTGAACTTATCAAATTAGTTCTAAAGAAGTAAACACAAACCTTTATGTTAGGGTTTTGAGTTTAAGACGTTTCCTTGCACCTGTTATGGTACCTCCAGTGCCAATTTCAGAAACAAAAGCATCACTTTTACCATCTGAACCTTTCCAAATTTTGGGTCAAGTTGTTTCATAATGGATCTAGAACATACAATAAGCAATTAGATTTTTAAAATAGATAGAAACACAAAAGTAGTTAAAGAAAGCTACCTTTGGATTTGCAGGATTCTCAAACTATTGAAGAATGTATGCATTTGGTTTTTTAGCCAATATCTCCTCAGCCTTCTGCATAACACCTTTGATTCCTTTAGTAGGACCTGTAAGAACCAACTCAACACCAACAACACAGAGAATAATTCGTCTTTGCATGCTCATGGATGCAGACATGGTGATGATCAACCTGTAACCTTTTGCTGTAGCCATGAAAGCTAGTCCAATGCCAGTGTTACCACTTGTTGGTTCAATAAGAACACTTTTTAGAAAGAAAACAAAAACTGTGTGTCAGATATATGGAAAATTTTGAAAATACACAATGATCTTCAAGGACATATCAACTATGTTAGCAAACCCGTCCAGGGGTTATGAGCCCTTTACCTCTACATCTGAGATCATGTTGTAACCAATCTTGTGCTCCACAAGTAAACACACCAGAAAAAAATCAGATCCATACACGTATAATCATAATCATAACACAATCATAAAACATATCACCCGTCAGATTCAATAGCTTAGTTGATAACTGTTGTAGTGTTGATTAATTTAAACCTCGTAAGACATAGTATGTATAACCAATTCAAAAAGTAATCAACTACTAGAAACATGTAGATTTGAAAATGAAAGTTTTCTACTCTAATGAAATAAGTAACTGTCTTTAACACTAGAGTAGGGTTCCATCATTTTCAATTTGGCTGCAATACGTCCAACATAACCTTCCACAACATTGTTGAGATAAACGAATGGTGTGTTTTCGATCAACTATAGGTATAAACAAAGATTTGTTTGTTAATACCTTGGGAAAAATAGCTGATATACGATCCAAAAACTTACTTTCGTAATATCCATAAACTGCAGTTCCTCCAAAAGACACAATATCTATAACCATGAGAGAGAGAAAGAGAGATGGTACAGTGTGTTTGAGATATGTGTAGGCTATTCTGAATTTGCTACGGAGAGCAGAGGAAAACATAGGGAGAAGTTTAAGAGAGAATCTTGAGTCTCTTTTTCTAGACCCTCGCTTCGTTCATTGCCTTCATCTATTGTTGACGTTTCTGATATGAAACCTGCGTTCAATACCTTCATCTACAGATGCGTAATATATACATAGATATGTATTTCTTAAGTCTCCAATGGCAAGAGAAATTTCACCACCTTGACCGTACACAAATTTGTATTCCTTAATTCAATCAAGGATTAAGCGAAATACATACACATATGCGAAAAATACATACACATATGTGTATTCCTAAACTCGGTCAAGGATTAAGCAACATTGAGACACCTTGAACGTAAAAGTGAAACTTACTGATGGCGGCAACAGTCGGTGGTAGTGGTGGTGGTGATGGTGGTGGTGTCGGCGTCGGTGGCTATGGCGATGACAGGGAGCGTACATATTGGACAATTTTAATTTAGGGCTACTATTGGGGGTAATAAGAAGTTAGCCTTAAAAATAAATAAACACATATGAAAAATAAACGTGTTATTTTCATTTTGTGTCGTATCTAGTACTTGTGTTTTAGTGACCGTATTCTATTACCCTGTATTGTATTTCAATTTTTCTAGTAGTGAGAACGCGGATGGTGGCAGTGATTTTTTATGGTGATGGAGAGTGGCCAATAACCTCCTGGTGCTGGTTTTTCGTGGTTTTCCGGCGAAGAAAAAGACAGCGGGATGTGGAGGGATTATGGAGGAGTTCTTCTTCGAGTTACCTCAGCAGGTGGTGAAGTTTTGAAGGTGGAATAAGGGTGGTGCAGTGTGGTGGCAGCAAGGTGGTTGCACCTCTTCCTTCCCTTTTCTAGGCAGAAACCGATGATAGGGAGAGAAGGGAGATGTGAGGTGGTGTTTGGGTGATGTTTTTGATCAAAAGAGGGAGGTATAAGGGTGGTTTTGGGTGGTGGGTTATGGTGGTTTCTTGGTGGTGATACTACAACCGTGAGAGAGGGAGAGATATAGAGGGAATGAGGCTGAGAATGTTGTGACTTGTAAAGAAGGCTGGATCTTGTTTTATAGTCAAGCCATGCACATACAAGTCTTCAACCCTATATACCTTCACATTGAAAAAGAGTATGAGTGTTGTTCACGTGGAAGAGAAGCAAAAGAATAGCTGGACTTTTTTTTTTGCCTTTAAGACCATCTCTAACTCACTCCCATTTCCCCCCCAAAAATGGAGTAAAAAATGGGGTAAATAGTGTTTCATCTCCAACCCTACTCCATTTTCACCCCATTTTCACCCCAAAAAGTATATTCCAAATATATTCAATTCTTCCAACTTACGTGGGTTGTCAAACACACCCCTTCAACTAATTTGGTTTTAACAAAAATATAATCTATATTTTTTTCATTACAATAACATTAAATAAATAAGATTATATTTATAACATATTTATAAGCTTTTGTAAAATACCTTATTGATTTTTAAAATTTCAATATGTATTTAACTTTTTATAAGAATTTGATGAACAAAACACAAACTTTATATTTATAATTAGTTAATATAATTTAATATATAAAAAAATATTATAAGTATTAAATATTACATTTAAATTATAATTAGTAGGTAAAAATAAATTAAAAATGTATAAATATATAAATAGAGGGACTAAAACCGACAACACAAAGTTTATCCTCATTTTGGGAGAAATGAATAGTATAACACCATATTTTGTGTAATACTATTCACATCCCCCAAAATGGGGGAATAAATGAGGGTGGGTTGGAGAAGAATGGGGGTAAAAATGGGGGAAAAAATGGAAATGAGAGTAGGTTGGAGATGCTCTAATAAACCTAGTGGTCCCACAAAGTAGTCTAATTCCTTAACTTGTCCAAAACATTTATAAATTGATGAATCGAGATCCCGACATCGGATTGCGTTTTCAAAAATTTCTTATGAAAGAGGGTAATTCAAGGACTCCAGAAACCTGAACGGATTAATTTTTGGAGTTACAGAACTCCGAAAAACTTCATTTGAAGTTTTGCGTCTAAACGGCTTGCGGTGTCCATTTTCATGACTTTTGTGAATATTTTTGTAAAAATTATTTTGAATGTGAAATTAAATAATGGACTATAACCTGAGTCCAAAAACGCTCTCAGAAATCCCGTCAGCAAAGCGTAAGTGCCTCAACAGATTAAAACAGTTTAAACAAAACAGGTAAAACAAGTGTTATACCGGCTTGATTTCTTAAAACAGTCGTATCTTTTGCATACGAACTCCATTTTGGACATTCTTTATATTTTCGGAAACAGGAGAACATGTACTACAATATTTTAATGTTTATTTTTGTTCAAAACTGCTTAATGAAAAATTTTATTTTTTCAAACGCATTAATTAGCGTTGTCGTTTAAGCGATTTGATTCGGTTGACAGTTTATACGATTGAAAGTAAGGTATCATCTGACATCATGTAATAATTAAAATAAAATTATTATTTACTTTAGATGCACTAAGGCTATGTTTGGCGCGCCACAGCTAGCTTATTTTTTGAGTTTTTTTTTGTTGTCGTATTTGGTAAGCCAAAAAGTAGCTTATAAGCTAACTTTTTGAAAAGCTACTTAGACTAGCTTTTTAGGAGCTTTTTTTAAAATTTCTAAATACACCATTTAATTAATTATAGAAACACATATTCTTACATGTCTTTTTATGTAATTTTATATATTTCAGCTAGCTTTTCAACTAGTTTTACCAAACGTTATTTTTTATCAGCTAGCTTTTCAGCTATCTGCTAGCTTTTTATTTACCAGCTAGCTTTTCAGCTAACAGCCAGTTTTTCAACTAGTACGCCAAACATAGCATAAAACTCAATAAGTCAGATTATCACGAGATTCACGGTGAATTGGTCGGTTATAACTTTAGCCCTAAATTCCGAGATGTCACAACAAAAATGTAACTATAATGTCATTTATTTGGTAACATGCTAGATTAATAGTATTGGTCATTTGGTTGATATTGCAGCAAAGTTATAAATAGAGTAACATAATTGAGAAACAGTATCGAAATCGTAATTTTGATAAACATAATAACTTTATTGCAATTCTAAAAAGTAGTTACAGGTAGAAAATGTAGAATTGGTCATTTGGTTGATATTGCAACAAAATTGTAAATATAGTGACATAATTACAGAAAAAAAAAACTCGTTGTCAAATTCAAAACTTTGTTGTAATATAGTGACATTTTTGCATTTTGTCATAATTACCATCTATGTTATTTTAATTTATTAACCGTGGATTATAACCTAATTACAAATATAAAAACGTTCTTATGTGTTTTACCTTGTTGCAATGGTAAGGGAGGAGGGAGTCGTTCCCTCCCAACCCACCGAACCACTGTCACATCAATTTTTCTCTTTTATTTTTCTTCATCTTTCCGAACCCACAACACACGGAAATCCTATCTTTTTGAACCCACTCAATTAAAAAAAATACAAAACAATCAAATGTAAAATCTTAATTAGCAATAGAGTTATCGGCGGTACCACTCGCGCTTCAACGAGTGGGTTGATTGGTTTCACTAACCCACTTCATCATCTCTCTCTACTTTCTCTTTCTTATTTTCTCTTGTACCATGTGTTTTAAAACTTGTACCTTAGTTGTTTTGTATTTTTTTTAATTGAGTGGGTTGAGTGAGTTCAAAAAAATAGGATTTCCGTGTGTTGTGGGTTCGGAAAGATGAAGAAAAATAAAAGAGAAAAATTGATGTGACAGTGGGTTCGGTGGGTTGGGAGGGAACGACTCCCTCCTCCCTAACAAGTCCAAATATATTTTACCAAAAAAATAAAGATTACTAAAGTATCCCTCCAAATAATTCCATTCAACAGGAATAAAACAAACGATTATGTTCAAAACTATTTGGAGAACAAAAAAACTTAAGTATTAAAATAATACGTAATTATTGTGCTTTCTTTCATTTCATTTTCTTTATTTGATCGAACCATACATGTCACAACTATTTAAAGATTCGCACAGTTCGTGTTACACACGACTACATTAAGCAACAAAAACACCAAACAAGCAATTTTATATTTTTATTTTGCGAGTTATGTTATAGTTGTCTACATTAGAACCTGTGAATGCATTTAAACTCAAATGATACATATGGAATTATGAATGTAATGAGAAGATTATCATTAATCCTATTTGCTTGCAGAAAGGTAGGGAGAGCAGTAGTTGAACCCGTACCAGATGTTTGTTGGGATCCAAACATTATAGTAGAAGGAAACCGCCCTCGTATTATACCCGTATACGTCTACTCTCTCAGGCTTCCACCCATCGTATCCGCTTCTGTATAAATACAAATAACATATCTGATACGTACATGGACCGTATATCTCAAACGTATCGCCGGAGCACCGCTCGAATGTCCTCGTCGACGGATCGTCTATCCTCGGTGCGTAAACCTAATCATCATGTCTCATCAACATTGTATTCTAATTTATTTCGAAGTTTGAAGTCCGGACTATGTTTACAGAAATCGAACCTGATTGCCGTAAGCATCGCCGAAGGAGATACTGATTTGATCTCGAGTGTATCGAACGGAAGAACAGCTCGTCGTGATCTCGACGGTGAATGAACAGGTGCGTGCATTCTAGGAAAATCAAAAGATGTTAGTGAAAATTCTGTTTTGAATTTACGTAAACCAGATACTGGATCCCGTACCTGATGATTAGTTGAGTTGATCTTGAAGTTAGGGTTAGGTTGCGGTTTTTGGATGATTGATCTTGCTTGTGATGTTATGGAAATGGCAAATAGCACTACCAAACACACAGCTTTCATCATTTCTGGCCTCAACTAACATGAGTCGGTGCATTTATACAAGTGTAAAGAGAGACTTACATCAATCTACCTACACTGATGTACCAATACATCAACAATTCTCGTTTTTTCTCGAGGTTTTTGGTAGTACTGTTCAAATTATCTTCATTGTCCCCAACACTTTAGGTATTTACAAGAAAACCACTATTCTTGAAATCCACACTTATTCCGTTATTCGTTCCAATACAGAGCTGCAGGCTTAATGGTTCCTTAAGAAAAACTAAAATTACTTACCAAGAGACTTTAGCGTCAATGTTATCAGGTCGTAAATCAGGTTCTAGAGGCCATGGATTCACTTTCAATTGGGTGTAGAAGGAAAGAAGAACATTTGATTTTGCCACTGAAATTGGGAATCCTGTGTAAGAACAATTTTAATGGATGACTCGCATTTGGTTATTTCTATAGATATTACAGTTCACAAAGGATCCTTAATGTAATTCAAATACCACCAGTTTCAAGCTGATTAAGAGTAAAACTGAACACTGACTCTCTCTGAAGATTTTACCAAATATAACATATGATAGGAATATTTAACATTACATTGTACATAATGGATAGAAAAAACTCAATAGCGATTCCTCCCAATGACCCATATAGCCAAGATTTACCACTAAATCCATTGAAATGTCAGTGCTAGAGACATTCATGATTCAATATTAAATATAAGTATATAGTAATTTCTGCATTTCATGGTGTCAATATGCAGAACATGTGACATTTATTCCACTTGGAATGGTCCAAACAAGGGCATCATCTGCGCACCAGTTGTTCTAGAATCTCTTTACACTCTGCCAAAAGTAAACCGAGTGAATTGGCAATGAAAAACAGTTGTTGATTATCTCCCTGCATAAATGACAAATTAAACTCTCTCCCAGTTTTCTTCCTGTGTTTCTTGATGATCTTCAAGAATCCTGTTTTTATGTTTACAGTTAGTACAATCCATGGAAACCTATAATATAATTATGACACTTTCTCTGAGTTTTCTGCAAGGATGAGAATGTATACCATCACAATTTAGGACATTGTAGTGAAGTAGCAAAACCAGTTTATTGTGGAATTGCAGGAGATCACTTGCCATTTGTGCTGTATCTTCACTGCTATATTCATCAGCTATCATGTCTTTCAATACCTATATGTTTATTTCCAATATAACAACACACAAAATGAATTTCTTTACCATAAAACCTATAAAATAATTGAGTGGATAACTGGATATAAGACTTAACTACCTGGAATCTGATTATGTATTCTTCTTCAGTCCTCACAAAAAAATCATTCATCCTTTCAAGTTCATTCTTGAGTAATTGTTGAAAACCCTCATGGCGTCTTTCTGGGTCCATTAAATTCAATTGCTTTTTCAAGTCTTTGTAAGACATACACTCACTTTCCCATTCAGGCATGATAATGGATATCTTAACGCGAAATCTTTTTCCAAATTTCATTTTTTTTTTTTTTTTTTTTCTAAAGAAGGTATTGCACCAAAGTTTGAAGTTGTCTTCTTTTAAAGAACAAACATTGTTAAGCATATTTTATGGATCAAAAAATCATTCCGTGTCGATACTTCTTCCTACTAAGAATTGTAAGTCAATATATTCGAAGTATATTCTTATAGTTTTTGTCATTTGGGATTAATATTATTTCCTTTTTTTTGCATTAGATAACACTAATCATATGGTTGACAAAAATATTCGTCCTATAAGATGTATAAACGAATGATATTGATCGATGATTTCTAAGATAGGTTCATTAAAGTAATCATCTTCTTTCTTCCACTTGTGTATTATTTTATACATCAGAGTATATTGCATGTTATAGAAAATTGCTAGACTTAAATTTGTTGCAGCCTGAGGTCATCAAGATTTGTTAGTTGTTGCTTTTAGCCTTGTCTCTAATATGCTTTTCCATGAAATGCATTGTTTTTGTCTTGTAGCCTTGTAGGTGCAGTTAGATAAAATTAGAGTGACTTTCAGCTTGGTTTCTATGTCTACTTCTCCATATTTGCACTTTTATTATATTAAATAAGGTATGTCGAAAAAGGAACGTTATTCTTTACGCTTTTGGTCCCTATCTGCAGGTTTCATTTCGATTTTGATCCTGCGTCATCAGTTTTATCTGCCCAGCTGTTAACTGTTAAGGGAGTGTGTTTGGGATTTGCTTATTTAATACAACTTATGTGTATAATTATGTAGTTTAGAAAAACAAATGTTTGAATCAACTTATGCCATATCAAAACACAGTAAAGTGATAAGTTGTATTTTAGTGTTTTGCAAATTTTGCTTATACCTATAAACTGACCAAAAGGATATGGGTAAAATGGTAAATTGGTATGTGTGTTGATGGTCGTGCAAAAAGAAAATGAGGCTACGATCCATATGGATTTCTTTGGGTTAAAGCAATGGTAAAAAGAGAAAATTTGTTTCCAAGTATAATGAACCCTTTTTAAATAAGTTATGCAATTTTTCTAATTTAGAAGGAAACAACTTACCAAAAACTACTATATAAGTTGATAAACACTTTTTATTTTATTTCATCCAAACACTTAAAATAACTGATTAGTGGTATTAAAATGCACTAAGCCCTCGAAATTTGTGAAAATGACGGGCTTGGCCTTGTCTCCTTCATCTTTGTGTTCATCTCTCTTCTCGATCTCAGCCTCCCTTCTCAAGAAAACCTAAAATTATTTTCAAACAAAATCCAAAAAATCAAATCTAAAACTAATACAAAATCGAAATCAAATTCCAGCTTTAATCTTCATCCCTTAAATAGATGCAATAACTATTTTCAGCTGAAAGATATGGCATCTCAAAGAACATGTCAACACTCTTCTCACAAACAAACGCCAAATTCATAGACTTTAGGCTCATGACCTGGCAAAGCACAAATGGGATTTCAGTAGTTCTTGCAGCGTTCCACTTTGATAGCATAAGTACCAATATACATGAACTGGCTCAAATCCTTAGGTGAAAATGACATGTGCACTATAATGCCCCAAGTGGCTTTTTCCATGCCCACATGTTTAGTGGTGGTGTATCATGAACATGTGCAATATCCTCATTTAACGATAGTTAATAGATTATAATCGCTGAATTTTAGGCTAAAAAACGTACTGAAGGCCAGTAGAAACGAAGATTCTGAAAAGAAAGGTCAAGTGAATAGCACATGGGGGACCAATGGAAGAATATAGAGAGTATGCCCGGTTAACATCTGATATCTAGATCTATACAACTACATACTAAAAGGAAAAAGAAAGCTCAAGCTCAGATATATCCAACAATCATGTCTACACCCTGATTTAGTACCTAAATTGACCTTCTCTAGGTATATTTCGAGTATTTGTTATGTATGACTTTATATATGCTTTTGGTACACTCTCATTTGTTAGCGACTATTGTAACTAAAGTACTGTGAATAATAATTATAGCTTATAGGAGTATGTTGGATCTAATTAGACACAATTGGACCCATCATAAGTATCATTGTCTTGACCTAAAATTCAAATAAATTCGACACTTAAGGGGCCACTTTCTTAAGAAATATAACCACCTACTCCTTGTGGCTCATTATTAAATGTTAGCAATTATGTTTTTATCGTAAACCCCCAAAAGAAAATCAAGTGATAAGATTTTCCCTTGTGGATTGGCGTTTTGCTCAACTTGGGTTATCTTTGTTTTCAGAATGATGCTCTTATTCCTAGAAGCACAAATCAAATTATCAAAATTACCTCTTATTTTTCTTCCCATTTAAAATCACATGTTAATAAACATGGATTTGTGAGCTATCTAATATCATCGATGCCAATGTAGTTTAGGAAAACTCTGTCAAGAACTTCAAGGTACTACTTGATATACGTTAATCAAAAAGGGAATGGAATGACATATCGATTGAACGAATTTTTTTTTTTGTTTGTTTGCCACTGTAGAGTCATTAGAGTGGAACGGAGGATTCATGAAATGTTATTCCTATGGATTTTTATTCTATTCTTTTATGGAATAGAATGATATATTATAATTGTATGATTATTTTTATTTACATAATTTTCAACAAGGTTACTCTTTCTATAAATTTTCAAAAAATAAAAATAAAAAATAAAATCTATTTTGAGATTTGAAATTTCATGGCATTTTTTTAAACAAAGTTTTTCATCAAACATTTCTAAATGATTTAAGAGATCATCTATTTTCACAATATAACGAATCGTGAAATAAGTTTATATGTAATTTAATTATTGGCGATCCAACTATAGTTGATTATATTTTTTCCTTAATGTTATTTTCACCTGTTAATTAGGGTATGCAGAATATATATATATATATATATATATATATATATATATATATATATATATATATATATATATATATATATATATATATATGAAAGTTACATTTGGGGTCCCTATACTAATACAAAACATATAAATAATGTATACTATAATCTAACACCCCCTCAGTTTGAGCATGGGGTTTACAAATGTTCAAACTGTGCCGAAAATCAAGAAATGATTGTGTAGGAAGACCCTTAGTGAAAATATCTACATACTGATAAGCCGATGGCACGTGTGATACACGCACATGTCCAATGGCAACACGTTCCCTAACAAAATGTAAATATATTTCTACATGCTTGTTACGTTGGTGCTGTACTGGGTTGGAAGATAAATACATGGCACTCACATTATCACAATACACAACCGTGGCTTTAGATAATGGACAAGATAACTCAAGAAGAAGATTGCGAAGCCATGCAGCTTCAGCGACAACATTTGCCACCCCACGGTACTCAGCCTCAGCAGAGGACTGAGAAACTACATGTTGGCGTTTGGAGGACTAGGAAATAAGATTACCGCCAAGATAAGCACAGAACCCAGAAGTGGACCGACGAGTGGAAGGACAACCGACCCAATCAGCATCAGAGTAAGAAACCAAGCAATCAATGGAGGAAGGACGAATGATGATACCAAGAGATAAAGTGCCCTGAAGATAACGAAGAATGCGTTTGAGAGCAATAAAGTGAGGTTCACGTGGATCATGCATGAAGAGACAGACTTGCTGGACAACATAAGCTATATCAGGACGGGTAAAGGGTAGGTATTGTAGGGTACCAGCAAGACTCCGATAGAGAGTAGGGTCAGAGACAGGAGGACCATGCAGAGAGAGTTTGGATTTCGTGTCAGAAGGAGTGGTGCATGGATTACATAAAGACAAGTCAGCACAAGACAAAATCTCTTCTGAAAAAGAAGTTTGAGATAGAAATAAACCTTTATCATTACGAGATGCGGCAACACCAAGAAAGAACGAAAGCGGGCCCAAGTATGACATATGGAATTCAGATGATAAACGAGATATAATGCTGGAGATGAGAGTCGAAGAGGAAGCAGTGAGAATGATATGATCAACATAGAGAAGAAGAAAAATATGATCGAGACCAGAGTGATAAGTGAAGAGAGAACAATCTGAACGACTGCTGGTGAAGCCAAAAGAGGTGATGAAGACAACAAATCGCTGATACCAAGCCCGAGGAGCTTGTTTAAGACCGTAGAGAGCTTTGCGAAGACGACAAACATGATGAGGAAAAGTGGGATGGACATACCCAGGGGGTTGCTTCATGTAGACCTCTTCGGAGAGGTCACCATGAAGAAAAGCATTTTTGACATCCAACTAGTGAATGGGCCAGTGTTTGGATATAGCAATACTCAGGACAGTACGGATGGTGTCAGGTTTGACAACAGGACTGAAGGTATCATCAAAGTCAAGACCAGGCTGTTGAGAGAAGCCCTGAGCAACCAGACGACCTGTAACATCTCAAAATTTAAGACAAAAAATTTCATTTTTAATTAAGTAATTATAAAACCAATAGCCTGAAAACATCCATAGTGTCATCTCATATCAAAACCAATATGTCAATAATCAAAACATGTCATAATAAAACAACATCAGAGTGTAACTCCCAAAGATCTCATGTACGGAAATCATAGTGTGATGCGTTGCGATCATGCCGACTCCTTTCCTTTCGAAGAAGAAGCACTTGAAACCAAAACTGAAAACCGTAAGCACGAAGCTTAGTGAGTTCCCCCATCATACCACATAATCACACACTGCCAGGCATATCTGGGTGCCCGGCCTACCTTGTCAGGCATATCTGGGTGCCCGACCTACCCTGCTGAGCATACCTGGGTGCTCAACCTACCCATGTCAAGCATATATAGGTGCTCGACCTACCCTGTCAGGCATATATGGGTGCCCAACCTACCCTCCGGTTTATTTCAACCGGTTACGGGGTCTATCTCACCCCTACCACTATCACATAATAACATATCATAACATACTGTCAGACATATCTGGGTGCCCGACCTACCCTCCGGTTTATCTCAACCGGCTACGAGGTCTATTTCATCCCTCCTACTACTACCATATGATAACATAGCATACAAGCACATAAATCT